TATCTGCTCAAACAAAATGTAATTTCTGTAAATAGTGATAAGTAGAGTCGAATCCACAGGGATTGGGAATATTTGTCTCTTTTGAAATTCAAACTAACAATGGAGTTTGTTATAGCAATGGTAATAATTAAACTGTTCGAATAAAAGTAAATAGCCAACTAAAAATTAAAGAATAAATTATTAAAATCAAATTAATAATAACTAAGCTCTAGTCAAGAAATAATTTCGACAATGGTTCACCTAATTGATCCTCGATGCAAAGGTAGTTCCAATTATTAACTAATAAATAGGTTATAACTGTCAAACAAGCGATGACAGTAAACTCCTCCTTACCGTATCGATGACTAAGATACGTCCGTTAATCACTACTCTAATCGAAAAATAATCTTAGGTACGCTCGTAAGATTTACTTCTCCAATTGCCTTATGTATTAGAGGAGTCCTATTCTAATCAAATAACACACTACCAGGGTTATTTGAGATTAGCTTCCGTATTCACCTGATACAAATTCAATCATGTCAGCTGTCACTATTTTAGAGCAATTAAATAATTACGGATTTAACGCTCCAATTGACATTAGATTGCTAAATTAATTCCACGTCCGGACCCAAGATATTCAATTAACAAAACAACCATAAATACTACCAACAGGGAATATGCAAATACCAGTAAATAAGAAAAATAAATAAAATTAATTCGATCTCACAATTTTTAGATGAATCAGAGCCTCCGTTGTCCTTTGACTAGAAAAAGAGATTTAGTTCATCTCCGTTGAGGAAAACCCACACACAATTGCAGAATTAATTGTTGCATACATCGTCTCTCAATTGAAATGCTCAACCTGAGGGAACAATTGAAATAACAATCAAATAAGACGAAAAATTCAAAAGCTAAAAAGTCATAAAAAGTGGTATGCTATTCTCCTATCTAATTCCTCTATATCTCCTTTGTCTACTCCTATTTGGCTACCAAGAAAGCATAGGAAAAGAGTCCTAGTCCTTGTTGACTTCCTTTTCCTTTGGAAACTACCAAAACAAAGAAAAATGAAGTGTCCTAATTTTTCTCCCAGTCTGCCGCATATTTTCTACTAGATAAGGAAACATAATCGAATTAGTCTCCATCTTGTTGACTGTTACTCAAACTCTTCTGCTAACTACCGTCAAATTGACACCTTTTTATGGTATTTTATTCCACTTTCTGCAATAAATACAAATTCTCAAAAGTGAGTAGAATTCGCCAATTAATGTATATTTGGTAAGATAATATGAGAAAATTAATTATAAAATAAATGACAAAATTATAACCTATCAATTTCCCCCATACTTAAATCATATTTGTACTCAAGTATACGAACAACAAACAAACACCAATTTTTGACAATGGTTATTACTCCATCTACCTTATTGGCAAGATACCAAGAAAAATACATATCAAGTATCAATGGTCAAAATCTAAGAAATATCATCTCAGTTAACTTCTAAGCTGCAGACTCTTCCAATTTATGACTAACTATTCGAAGAGAAAGGAATGGTTGATCAATATTTATCAGTAAATGGTTCAACTACTAATCAAAATCTCAACATTAAATCTAAAAATCGGTAAGCTGACTTTAGTCACGTAACACACCTTTTTATCACGCTTTCCTTTTTCTTTTTTTCTTTTTTTCTTTTTTTTTTCTATTTTCAATAGTGATAATAATGGATTTAGTCTCTAGCCATTAAGGTCTTTTGACTCGAACTCCAATATTTATTAGATGAAAAAACCCAGTTACTCAACTGCTATCGCTATACGACCACGTACTTATAAAAATTACTACTTTTTGATGCGAGAATAGACATTATTGGTGAAGATCCCCGGTTATTCAGTAGTAATAACTAGCAGAGTACAACAAATTTTTATTCACAGTCAAGCAACGAATATCATATAAAATAGCAGCAACTAGCCTCATTTCTTCAAACATGGAGAACTAAAGTTAATAATTGGACTAGTTCAGATGAAAATGTCAAGCAGTTATTTCCTATGCCTAGAAAAGTTAACCAAAAATTATAAGAATCACAAAATCATCAATATTCACAAATCAACCAAATTAATTTGATACACTTTTATATCTAAAACTCGACAATAGAAGAATTAGAGTTAATCAACCATCATCAATCTTTGATAGTCACAAAGTGTTGATCACTTGACAATAGGAGAATTAGAGTGGCGGGGATGCGTTAGTGGTGTGCATAGGACTTCGCGAGAGAGAGAGAGAGAGAGAGACATGGTGGCATGCAATGAGAGAGGCACGTGAGGGGAGCGGCGAATGGCGGTATGCGATGTGGAAGGCAGCGACAAATGGGCGTGGGTCGATGAAAACAGTGACGACATGGGGAGTTGCGGTAGGGAAGACGACGGCAGACTTGGTGGTGGCAGGTATGGTTAGCGAGAGAAAAAACTTGAGTAAATGAGAAAGTGGCGGCACGAAGAGATAGGCGGTGCTCCGTAGGTTTCGGTCGAGAGAGAACCATGGGAAATAGGGGAGAAGGAAAGGAAAGGAAGAAAGAAAGAAAAAGAAAAAAAAGTTTCTATTTTTTTTAAAATTATATACCTTTCCCTCGAATATGACTTGGGCACGTCAAGGAGGCAAGAAACCTTCTGATGAATGTCCGTTGAGTTCAAAGTTACCACGTGCCTGATTGATGCGGGCGCGTCATAAGGGTGGAAATCCTTCTGATGAAAACTTTGACAATTGCATATTACCACGTGCTCAGGTGACACGGGCACGTCATGAGGGTGGAAACCCTTCTGATGGAGACTTGTTGAATTAAAAGTTACCACGCGCCTTATTGACGTGAGCGCGCCAAGTCGGTCAATCCGCTCCAGGATCAAGGGAAGAGTTCTCCAAGCAACCGACACAGGCGCGTCATGAGGGTGAAAACCCTTTTGATGAAAGTCTTGGGCGTTGCACATTATCACGTGCCCTATTGATGTTGGCGCGTCATGTCAGAGGGACACCTATGAATCATCAAAAACGAAAAATTAAACCAAAAATTTAGATAAACCTTAAGAAAACACATTGAAGCGACCAACTAAAACTAAATAAACAGCTAAAAGAAATTAGGTTGCCGTCCAATAAGCATCTTTCTTTAACGTGTTTGGCTCGACATGAAATATCACTCCTCAATCTAGACGTAATTCAGATTTTCTCGCATTCAGTGACATTCCTTCGGGATCCAAATAGTCATTGAGTGTAACCATCTTCTTTAATTTTCTACTTATTTTCACCTCATAAAGTGCTTTCATCCCATGATACTGGTTCACGACAACTTTAAATTTACCCTTACAATCAAATTCAAAAAATCTTGCACAGAGGGATTAGTAGTATGAATGGCAAACATAGAATGTTCTTGCACAGAGAGATTAGTAGCATGAATGGCAAATACAGAATGAGTTAACAGGATATTTCATTGTATTAAAAATGTTAAAGTACGTTATCTCTCCATCAAATTTCATTGCGAGAGTACCCTTACTAACATCAATCTTAGTCTCGATAGTACTCAAGAAGAGTCTACCTAACAACAAAGGTGAGGGTCGGGAGAATGATTATCATCCATGTCAGGTACATAAAAATCAGTTGGGAATACTAATTCATTAATTTTAACCAACCCATCAGGATAGACATTCGTTCGGTCAGCTAATTGGATTATTATCTCCATTTCTTTTAACGGATCTAGGTTCAAAGAAGCATAAATAGATTTAGTCATTATATTGATTGATACTCCTAAGTCCAACATGGTATTTCTAATCAGAGTATTACTTATCCTACAAGGGATAGTAAACATACCTGGATCCCCGCATTTCGGTGGAAGTTTCATCTGTAGAACAGCTGGCACGTTCTTCCCTACAATAATTCTTTCGTCCCCTTTCAGCCTTCCTCGGTTGACACACAAGTTTTTCAAAAATTTCGCGTACTTTGGCACTTACTTGATTGCATCTAATAGGGGAATGTTGATCTCTACCTTATGGAAGATCTCCAAAATCTCTTTCTCCTTGTCCTATTTCATCGATCTTTCCAATCTACTAGGAAAAAGAGGCGGGTTAGTTTTAACTTTAATGATTGGGTCAGGATGTACCATTGGATTTTTTCTATTTCTGTCCTTTTTCTCAAGTTCTTTCTCGATTTTTTCTTCATTCTTGTCCTTTGAAATCAAGAGTTTGGGTGCCTGAATTTATTTCCTGGTCCTTGAGGTCATTACACTTACGTTCTTTGGGTTCAGTTCAGGTTGAAAGGGCAATTTTTTATGAACTTGAAACTCCAGACAGTTGATTGATATTGTCATCTGATTTATCTAACTCTACATTGCTTACATCTGTCCTTTTTGATTCCTTAGATTCTGTAAATCAGAGTCCGTCTTTTGTTGAAATTGCGCGTTGCTAGCAATTAACTGCTTCATCATCTCTTCTAAAGACGGACTTGAACTTGGAGGAGTGGTGGTCAAGGTTGATATTGATGTTTATACCCTTACGATATATTCGGCACAAAATTCGATTGCCTGTTTCCACCATAGTTGAGATTAGGATAATCTCTTCAGTCCGGATTATACGTGTTTGAATATGGGTCATATGGCTTTTTTGGCGTGGACGCGTGACCAACCATGTTTACTTGTTTCGCATTCTCTATTTGAATCATCGGGCACATATCTGTAGAATGATCCATGATAGTACAAATACCACACACCTTGACTTGTGGAGCAATTTCTACAGTTAATTGCCTGACAAAAGATGTTAACTCAGATAACTGTTGTTTGATAGATGATGATTCTATCTCATTCACTCTACGTATTGGGCCATCCTCCCTTGTATCGAACTACTGCGAATTTTCGGCTATCTCTTCAATTAACTCCCATGCTTCTCGAGGGATTTTGTTCACCAACGCCCCACCACTTGCAGCATCAATAATACTCCTGTCTCTGAAGAGTAGCCCCTCATAGAAATACTGGATGAGCAATTGCTCGCTTATTTGGTGTTGAGGGCATTTGATGCGTAATTTTTTGAATCTCTCCTAATAATCATAGAGCGACTCTCCTAGATGTTATTTGATACCACATACCTCCTTCCTCAGACTTGCAACTTGAGATGCAGAAAAATATTTTTTCAAGAATTTTTTCTTCAATTGATCCCAAGTGGTGATACTACCTGGGAGTAGGTAGTACAGTAAATCTTTTGCTGAGTTTTTAAGAGAGAAAAGGAATGCCCGCATTTTTATCTGTTCTTCCGTAATTTCCTGGGAATTTATACTGTTGCAAACAACATCGACCTCTTACAATTGTTTATAAGACTTCTCACCTGATAAACCATGAAAAGATGGTAAAATATAAATTAGGCTAGATTTTAACTCAAACGGGGTGTTATCATTTAAATTCGAAAAAGTGGTGCATAAGAACTGCTGATTTAAATTAGGTGCAGCCAACTCCCTTAATGTCTGTGCATTAGCCATAGTGACTTCCCCTCAATCCGGTTCATTCGAAGTATCGCCAAGCGAACTTATTGATTCAACTTTTGGATCAGATCTCTGAGATGCAGTACCAGATTGCTTTTCTCTGAGTTGTTTGGTCTTTTTTTTTGTTCGGGGCGCGGTCTTCTCTATTTCGGGGTCAAAAATCAATTCGTCTATATGAGAAAACCGAGGCATAAACTAGAAAAATACCAGAAAATTAAAACGAAAATGAACTTAAAAACAAACAAATTAACTAATGCCAGTTCCCGGCAATGACGCAAAAAATTGACAGATTATTGAACCTGTGCAATAATAAATATCTATTCAAATAAAATGTAATTTCTGCAGATAGTGATAAGTAGGGTCAAAACCACAGGGATTTGGCATATTTGTATCTTTTGAAGTTCAAACTAATAATGGGGATTTTTTTTATAGCAATGGTAATAATTAAACTGTTCGAATAAAAGTAAATATCCAACTAAAATTTAAAGAGCAAATTATTAAAATCAAATTAATAATAACTAAGCTCTAGTCAAGAAATAATTTTGGCAATGGTTCACCTAATTGATTCTTGATACAAAGGTTGTTCCAATTTTTAACTAATAAACAGGTTATAACTATCAAACAAGCGATGACAGTTAACTCCTCCTTACTGTGTCGATAACTAAGATACGCTCGTTGATCACTACTTTAATTGAGAAATAATTCTAGATACGCCCGTAAGATTTATTTTTCCAATTGCCTTACGTATTAGAAGAGTCCTATTCTAATCAAATAATACTCTATCAGAGTTATTTTAGATTAGTCTGCATATTTGCCTGACACAAATCCAATCATGTCAGTCGTCACTATTTTAGAGTAATTAAACAATTATGGATTTAACGCTACAATTGACATTAGGTTGCTAAATTAATTCAACGTCCGGGTCCAGAATATTCAATTAACGAAATAACCATAAACACTACCAACAGAAAATATGCAAATACCAGTAAATAAGAAAAATAAATAAAATTAATTCGATCTCACAAATTTTAGATGAATCAGAGCCTCCGTTGTCCCTTGACTAGAAAAAGAGATTTAGTTCATTTCCGTTGAAGAAAATCCACACACAATTGCAGAATTAATTGTTGCATACATCGTCTCTCAATTGAGATGATCAATCCGATGGAACAATTGAAAGAACAATCAAATAAGACGAAAAATTCAAAAACTAAAAAGTCATAAAAAGTGGTTTGCTATTCTCCTATCTAATTCCTCTATATCTCCTTTTGTCTACTCCTATATGGCTACCAAGAAAGCACGGGAAAAGAGTCCTTGTCCTTGTTGACTTCCTTGTCCTTTGGAAACTACCAAAACAAAGAAAAAGGAAGCGTCCTTATTTTTCTCCCAGTCTGTCGCATCTTTTCGAGAGCAGATCCTCTATCCAATATTTTGTGTCTAATTTCCTGTCTAATGTGAAACTACGTAGTTTCACTTATTATATCTACTGATGTAGCAACTAAAAATAGGTGGTTGTTTGGCTGCCTTATACTTCTTTTTCTTTCTTGTTTTTTGGGTTTTTTTTATTTACACAACTTTATATTTGTTTACACAACAAATACAAAAGAATATTTAAAAAAGATGAAAATTGTAACAAAATTGTGTAAACAAAGAAAATCCAAAAAAGATGAAAAAAAAGAAGTATAAGGCAGTCAAACAGCCACCAATTTTAAGTTGCAACATCAGCAGATATAATAAGTAAAGCTACGTAGTTTTACATTGGACAGGAAATTGGACATAAAATATTGGACAGAAGATCTGCTCTCCATATTTTCTACTAAATAAGGAAACATAATCGAATTAGTCTCCATCTTGTTAACTGCTGCTCAAAATCTTCTGCTGACTACCATCAAATTGGCACATTTTTATGGTATTTTGTTCCACTCCCTGCAATAAATACAAATTTCCAAAAGTGAGTAGATTCCACTAATTAATGCACATTTAGTAAGATAATATGAAAGAATTAATTATAAAATAAATGACAAAATTGTAACCTATCAATACACAAAATTTAGCAAACTCAAAAATCAAAATGCATAAAAAATGAGATTTTTTATGAATTTTCTATTGTATTTTTAATTTTATATTATAAATTACTTTTTTGAAACTGTTGTATTTAGTTTTTACTGAATTAATAGTTATTGAATCTTTATGAAACAAAAAAGAACTAAAATATGATGTTTATGAAAGAAAAATAGTAATATAATGAAAAGTGGGACAGTGAGTGGCACAGGGTGTGGAACAGAAGATCCATTGCGCGTTCATTGAATAGGTAGTTGTTAGCTCCTCTCTCTCTCTCTCTCTCTCTCTCTCCTTTTTTTACTATTACAACAATCTATCCTTTCTCTCTACATGCAAAAAAAATTTGCTATTTATATGACAGTATTGCTAAATAACGTGGGAATATACTTTGAGATATTTATTTTACCCTAAAGTAAGGGTGTGAGATTTATTAGATAGACAATGCAGAGGGAAAAAAAACTAGGTGAACAAGAAGTAGTACTCTCTCTTCTTCTTCTTCTTCTTTTTCCTGGACACGATAGAATCTACTTTAGAACTATACCTACTTTATACTAGGAGAATGGGGAACCTAGAGAGGTCCAAGAAAAATTCGGAGAGAATTGAATCATCACTTACACAAACAGATGCTGACGCACTCGCTAGCGAAATTTCTAAAAACGTCTAGACTTTTAGAATGCATCCTACACCCAAATAGAGTTTTAAAACTCTATTAGTGGCTAGGATTTTTTAGAATGCAGGCCAAGAGATTTGATCTCATGACCTATATCTAAGTAAAGCCTTAAAGTTTTTTTTGTAGCCAATTACTCATAAAGCAGTTGGTTAAACCAGGTGAACAAGAAGTAGTACTCTCACCTCATCTTATCATACACTTCATATTGTAATTGCGTCTTTTGTTATTTTTCTTACCAAATACGCAAGACTTTTGTTATTTAATATTTTTTGAGGACATAATGTATTTGTGTCTTCATATACGTCAAGATTGCCATCAATTTTCCCTATTGGTCCAGTTTTCAATACGTCCCAAATCCAAACTCAATCCACTAATGACCATTCAGAAATGATGGAATGGCTGGATATCCAGCCTGAAAAATCAGTTGTTTTCTTCTGTTTTGGTAGTATGGGAAGTTTTGTGCTGGATCAAGTGAAAGAAAAAGCAGTAGGCCTTGAAAAAGTGGCTACCAATTTCTTTGGGTTCTTAGGCAGCCCCAGCAAAAAATGAAGAATTTGCAGGGGATTTTGAAAATCGTGGACTTGCTTTGCCCAAAGGATTCTTGGATCGAACGGCATTAATTGGAAAAGTTGTGGGCTAGATTCCACAAATAGAGAAAGGAATAAGGAATAAGGAAAGGAATAAATAGAGAAAAGAATAAGGGAAGTCCATGATTTTAGGCTAAACATCATTCTCACTATCCATGACACACACACCCAATCAGGCGCTAGTCCAGTCATTTTAGGCTTACCCTTGTCACGGGCTTCTGGTAATCATTTTTGGGTTTGTTGAAGAAGCATTGAAGTCAAGTCAATGAACTTACGTGATCCAACAGAACTGTCCTCTGGATCGTATGTCCCAGCGAATCACCTTTCTCCAAACAAATACAAACACATGCTTCTGCAAGATATGGGACCGCCGAAGAAATATACTCCGTTTGGATTAGCTATTTTTGAAGTTATTTTTGAAAAATTTTGCTATAGCAGAATTTTTAAATTATATTTTGGAATATTTTCAAAAAATATTTTGGAATATTTAAGAGTAGAAGAGTTTTTTTAATATATTTTGAGATATTTTTTAAAATTTTTAAAAAAGTTAAATTAATTTTTAGATTATCTTTTAGAGTATTTTTTAAAAATTTTTATTGCATTTGAAAAACTAGTTTTTGAAAAACACTCCCAATTACTAGCATAGATCTCTCAATTACATACACACACCCAATTACTAGGTTTCTTGTGGGTTCCCCTTAGATTACTCTTCATGGATTGTTTAGTTGCTAACTTTCGAGTGTTTCTAATCTAATTGGGTGTGTGTGTTTCTGCTTATTGACAGAAAAAATTACTAGCATAGATCCCAATTTTGACAAAGCAACTTCTATGCAAAATCAGGACAGCTGTAGTGAATCGGGTGATTTTTTTTTTTTCGACTCAAGTGCATGTTATATAGCAGCTACCAAGTTGTGTTTTGGCTTTTGACTAAATCTGTACATGAATTGTTGTATAGAATCTTGACAATGGATCTTAATAGAATGTTGTATAGAGAACTTGATCTCAAATTAGTGTGCTATGACTAAATTCTATTAATATCAAGTTCTCTATTTCTTTTATTAACATGCCTATTTTGGCTATTGAGAAACTGTCATATTAAATAGTTTGGTACTGTGGATTTTAAAGTGCTTGAATCACACGGTTGGAATTTTTGTTGAAATGAAGAAAACTGCATGTTTTAATATGAGTTGCTATTTTGTTTAAGGAAAGCACAGATTTTTTGCACTCAATTTTTGCTGAATATTCTGGTCTAGGAAACAAAGGTTTTTGAGCTCATTTTTTGAGCTTAACTTGGATATTTAAATTCAAAT